CCGCCCTGAACACTCCACTCCTACGCCCGAATCTCCCCCGGTACCCCCGCCCCGTTTCTCCCGGGATCCCCCCCCCCCCAAAGCTCCGGCGGTATCTAGCCGGTGCCCCCCTCGAGCAGAACCCGCTGTTCTCCCAGGGTCGCCCCCGGTCCTCCCCCCGACACCCTGCCCGTGCCTCCGCAGCTCCCCCGGCCCCGCGCCGGTCCCCTCCCGGTGCCCCCCCTCCGGTCACCCCCGGTGGCCGCTCCCGGATCTCCCGCCGTGCTCCGCCGGTGCCGCGTGGGTCTCGGCCCGGCACCCCCCCGCCCGTACCCCACTCACAGCAGGCAGAGCGCGTAGGCCCCCGCCACGCTTTCGCTGTCCCGCACCAGGAAGCTGCCGTCCCGCCCGGCCCGCGCCAGCTGCTCCTCGGCCGCCGCCCGGCTCAGGTCCCGGTGGTACCAGGGGGGCACCGGCACCGGGGCCGCTCCTCCCGCGCCCCCCGCGCCCGCCATGCTCCGCCGCCGGGGCCGCGCCGCGGGGCCGCGCTCCGAGGGGGAGGGAGGCCGAGGGGCGGGCACCGGGGCGGGGAAAGGTGGGGGACGGGGACATCCCGGGGACAGGCGGGGTCTCCGGGGCTTGGGGGCACCGGGGGCCCCTGGGTACCTCATCGGTGTCCCCCGGAGAGATCCGGGGGTGGCCGCCGGGAAGGGCGATCGAGGGAGGTCGAGAGGGGTACCGGGGGGGACCCACGGGGGATCCTGGGGGAGCAGCAGCGGGGAGCCTGGGGGAGCACCGGTGAGGTAACGGGGGAGCATTGGTGGGGTCCTGGGGGGCGCACCTGAGAGGCACCGGGGCAGATCAGGGGCCATGAGTAGGATGTTCAGGGGGAATCGGGGGTTCTGATCGAGGGGCAGCGGCACCGAGGGGCGGAGAGCAGCACCGGGTAGCGGGCAGCAGCAGTGGGGAGCACGGGGAGGATGGAGAGCACCGGGGCGGGGAGCACCTGGGAGGGGGAAAGCACTTGGAGAGATAGGGACACTAGGGGAGCACCCAGGGGCACATCGAAGGGAAGAGCAGGGGCACGGTGGTATGAAGGCATCGGGGTGTGAAGGTACCGGGGAGCCGGGCACTGGGAAAAGGGGGACCGCGGTGGGGCAGGGCTGGGGTCGGGGGCTGAAGAAGTGGGGGGCGCCACCCGGTTTCGCCGCCAAAACCGGGGACTTCTCCACGGTCCAGGGATCGGAACGGTGCCACCCCACAGCCGGGAACACGGAGCGTGTGGGGGGCAAAGGGACACCAGGGGTGGGCTCCGGGCCAGCGGAACTCCCTTGACATGCTCCCACCTCAGAGTCCCCAGGATGTCCTCTCCTTTTCCCCCATAGTTTTCCCAGTCTCATCCTGTGCACCCCAGGGTGGCAGTGACGCCCGGGGCCCTGGAGCCGTATCAGGTGCTAGGACACATTCAGCGACCCCATCCTCCTGGGCCCCAGAGGCAGGCAGCCTGTGCCTTCTGCTTTGCCCAGCACAGTGGTTTTGGGGAAGGCAGTGCTGGGTAGAAATGAATAGAAGTGATGTCTGCTTATTGGGGAAGATGAAGCGCCCAACGTGGAAGTGCCACACCCTTCAACTTTTCCACCAGTGCAACAGTTTTCTATGGTCGGTAACTAAATAACCAGTTGTAGCCCTCAAATAGGTGTCGTGAGCGCGGCATTTCGCTGCTGGCCAGCGTGAAAGCTGATGCTCAAAAAATTTCCCGAGGCAATCGTCGAGCACGTGGAGCCGTTATTAAGTAGCGAGCACCTGGAGCTCTCGGAGGACTTTGCCTGGCTGTCCTGGAGCACAGGGGCCGCTGCTAGCCGGCGGCTGCCTGGAGCTCTCTGAGAACCCTTGCCGTGGCATCCCTCGAGCACGGAGACGCTGCGGAACAGCGCCGACCGGAGCCCTCCGGAGGGACACTGCCCCGAGCACAGGCGAGTGCTGCTCTGCACCGCCCGCACTGGGGCTCGGAGCGACTGGAGTCCGGGGGTCCCGAGCACGGAAAGCTGGTGCCAAGCGACGCCTGAAACCGGAGCTCTGAGGGGATGAACGCCGATTGGAATGCCCGGCCAGGCTCCCACGCCCGAGTTCTGAGTGAGGACCCTGCTCTGCGACACCAAGGTGGGCTACACTTGTGTAACAACGGGACAATCCCACTCTGCCCACGACCGAGATCTCTATAAGCAACTAAAGCATTTTTTAAAGATGCAGCAACATCACATTACCTAAGCAAGAGCTAGAAAACCTTTCAGGATGGACTTTAGTTAACTTCCCAATACTGAACGTCTTTACCAGAGACTTTTGGGACGCAGTTGGAAATAGACTGTTTAATAACATCTCCCGCCGGGACACGACTGCCGGTGAGCTCGTCCCGGCGTGCAGGGCGTTGGTCGAGCTGTTTGCTGCACAGACCACGCCCGCAGCAGCCCGTCCGTGTTGTTGCTGAGAATCCGCTCCATTCCTCCGCCACTCTCCAACGCGGCTCCGCCGACCCCTACGGACCCCGCCGCCCCTCCCGCCATCCCCGCGCCCGCACTCCCGTTCAAGCAGCCCTGCTGTCCCGGTTGCCGCAGCTCTTCCAGCCGCCCCTGCGAGCCCGCCCACAGCGTCACCGCGGCGACAGCTCCCGCTGCCGGCATCGCGGCAGCCCCGGCCCCGCCTTCCCCCGCAGGCGCAGCTGCTGCGGCCCCCGGCCCATCCGTGACCCGTTCAGCCGGGACACCGCTCCTGGCATCGGCCGTGCGCAACTCCGGCACCCCGCACCGCTCCGCCACGGCTTTGATGCGGCCTCCCGGTTCCCACCCGCTGCATGCCGCAGTCCACCCCCGCCGACATCCTTGTGGCCCCAGTTCCAGCCGCAGGACGCCAGCCGGCCCTGCCAGCGCTTCCGTGTTCCCCGAGTGTCCAAGCGGACCCATCCACGCCGCCAGCCCAGCCCCATCACAAATAGTTCCCCCTGCAGCGCCTCCCGCACACCTTCTGGAACCCCCAACACTACAGCCGCCAGCAGTTCCTCAGCCCTCAGCTGCTCTTCACCTGCCTCCACCGCCAACACGGACCAGCGTGTCACCTGTATCCTGCCGCAGCTCCCGACTCTACTCCTGTGCCTCCACTGACAGCTTCCCTGCCCCCTGCTTCCCTGCCTCCGCCGCCGCATCCTGCGCCTCACCCAAGCAGGACGGGACCACAGCCAGGCACACAAGCCGTGCAAGAAGGGAACGTGACACCCGCTTTAGCAGGACAGACAGAGAACTACTTTGCTCCTCCAAATGCTAACCCTTTGAACCCAATGCAAAGAAAGTCCGAAAAAGAACTAACCCTGTTCCCGAACAGCTCTAAAGTTTCTCCAGAGTTTGGCACAGATTTGGCAACCCAAAATAAAACAGTAGACCCTGACAATTCACCACCATCAACCTCAAATTTAGAAAATTCCCAGGGAGGTTTTGATAACCTTCAACTAACTGACTGGCATGAAGTCAGACGCGAAATTTGCAAAGAGGAAAGTTTAAATTCTTTGGCAATGCCTGTGATATTCAGCCAGCAAGCCAGTGGTCCTAGAAATGGACAGCCATCCCATCTCATGAGATGAAAGAATTACAAAAAACAATAAAGGACAGTGGTATTTTCTCTTCATATTTTAAGCAACTGCTGAAAAGTACCCTGGAAGGTACATACACTCACACCAACTGACTGTAAAAATCTTGCTCATATAATTCTTACAGATTGACAATATATGCCATGGGAACTCAAATGGAAGAGACTGCTTGCAGGGGTCCTAGCCACTTATAGACAATGCACTGATGCAGACCTTCGTGTCCTCACCTTGTCTAAGCTAACAGGTGACCCTCCTGATGATAAAAATGATAATCAAGTGAATTTACCCAGAATGGCGTTAGATGACATCAGAAAGATGGCTCTCAGAGCCCTTTTGCAAATTTAGCCTGCAGGAACTTTTGAAAAAGCTGACAATCTAATTAGCCAAGAGTCATCCGAACCATTTACCACATTTGTAGATCGAGTAATCCGAGCAGCAGAAAGGCAATGCAGTGATGATATAGCTCACCCAATAATGATATGGGACATTATTGAAAATAATGCCAATGCAGAATGCAAAAGAATTATCAAAGCCTTGGGAAAAGAAAAACCTACAGTGCTTGAAATGATTGAGGCCTGCAACAAAATTGGAAGTCCACAGCAAGCAGCGACGATTCAAGCAAATGAACTTGGAAAAACTCTAGGAGAACAAATTCAAAAGGCTCTCACAGCACAGGCAACACAAGCAGAAGCACGAGACAAAAAACTTACTGAAATCCTAGCTGCCTTGCATCTCACCTCCCAGCAACAAGGCAACGCTATGGCTGTTAGGCAAACTGCTGTAACTTCAGGACCTTGCTACTTCTGCAAAAAAACCTGGCCATATCATGAAGAATTGCCCAAACGGCTAAAGGAGCTCTGTAAAGTAGGCTTGATTATGTTAATAGTGATAGTTTCGTTTCATTTGTAGTACCCTGCATACTTCAGTGTGTGCAAAATTGATGAGGAAGAGAGTATCTAACATCTTAGTTGTTCATCAGAACGGGGGAGATATTGGGGAAGATGAAATGGGAAAGTCTTATAAATATGTTTGCTTAGCAAAGGATTTGGAAAATACAGAGACTGAGTGAAACTGAGATGAGAACAAACTTTGAGATTTCAGACCTTGGTTGCTAAGCAGCTGGTGGACAGTAGTGTAGCTAGTAGAAGGTAACTCCCTTTTTTGACCCACAGACAGATCCAAGGGTCATCCCTCAAAAATGTGTAGTTTATCCTAACACCTGACTTCAGAGATCTCTTGTCTCTGTCCGTCCCGACCATCCAGGACCAGCCCTCACCACAGTCTGCTTCATCTCCCCCCCAGAAGCAGGATGAGACAAGCAGACACCCCCTAGGTCCCTCAACCATCCTACTGCCACCCCAACCATCCCACAACACCCCAAGACCAAGCAGGGCAGGAGCATTTATTCATGAAGCACGTGCCTTGGTGGGGGACACAGCTTGGGAACATTTCATGGGGAGACACAAGGCAGCCTGGTGACCTCCCTGACCACCTACTGCCTGCTCCTGCCTGCAGCCCCTCCTGCTCAGAGCAGGGCCAGAAGGGCGAGGGGCAGCAGGGACAGCAGGATAGAGAGCGGGGAGTTTGGGGGAGCATCGCCATGGGCGTAGTATTGGGCGACGACAACGTTGGGGTTCCCCTGCGTGGGATCAAACCACATCTGGATGCAGCGACCGCTGCCACGGTGGTGGGATGTGTAGCGGTAGGAGCCAGACCAGATCTGCTCGCAGAGTGCAGCCGCCGTGGGGAACACAAACTTGAACTTCTGGCACATGGCACCCTTGGGACACTGGTTGGTGCCTGGGGGTGGGCAAGGGGTGAAGTGGGTGAAGGGCTTGGGGAAATGGGTGTTGTTCGCCTGTGCATGGGGTGCAGATGGGTCCCACTGGCATTGCTGGGGAAGAGAGAGTTGACCTCAAGGTGGCACAGGGTCTACCCCACATGCCATGAGGACTCTGACCCACTCACATGCACAAGGGACTCTCTGCCACCCCCCCCCCCCCCCCCCCCCATGGGCACCCCCACACCCCTGGACCCACTCACACCCACCAGGGAGGGTGGATACAACTCCCTTGCTCCCCTGCAGCAAGATGGACACTGACTGGAGACCTACAGGAGAGTTGAGGCATGATGGGGGCTGCCCTGCAACCCCCACTCACCTGTAGTCCAGTTCCAGCCCTTGTGCCAGTTGACCTTGCAGGTGACAGCATCCTGGCAATCCTCCCACCACTGCTCACAGTCCTCCCAGCACAGTGGCACATCCCGGATCCGCTCCTTCCGCCAGCTGGTGTCTGCCTGCAGGGCCCCCAGTTTTCTCCAGTTCACCCCAGGGATCCTGGTGGGTGGGTGAGGGTGGGGTCTTCACCTACCTGGTCGATCCATGGCCCCAGGTTAGGGGAACACTCATAGAGACACAAGTCCTGGATGAAGTGGCGCTTGCATTTCTCTGGCATGGCCCCACAGTGGTCCCAGTTGAAGTTGTACAGGTAGGACTGGTCCTGGTGAGCTTCCAAACTCGTGTTGGCAGTGCAGCAGGCATTGTCCTTCCAGAGGATACACTGCACCAGGGCAGCTGGGGCTCAGCTGGGACCCACCAGGACCCACCAGGGCTCAGCTGGGACCTGCTGCAGGTCCAGGGGAAGCACCAGTGCCCGTGGGTGGGTGACACTGGATGATGGAATTCATGTTGGGGCACAGAGCCCTCCAGCCTCCATCCTGGTGACCCCACAGCAAGTGACACCAGTGGGAGCTATAGTACAGTGCATGAGGACCGTACCTGCCCATAGAGCTGCCCCTCAGGGCCAGGCTCTGTTTTATGGTGCTTGGCATCCATGCAGACGTTGAGCAGCGAGTCCTGTGTCACTGTCACTGCTGAAATGGCAGCTGGCCAGGCCAGCAGCAGAGCCAACACCGCTGCCATTGCTCTGCCAGGGCAACAGCAGGTCAGGACAGCAGCACCGAGAGACGCAGTTACAGCAGGGACAAAGTCCCCCGCTGTGCCCGTGGAAGCGCGGCAGCACACGGTCACCGCCCACGCCCACCCACAGTGGGGTCAGGGGTCTTACCTGGGGATGCCAGGGGATCAAGACTCTTACCTGGGGGGCAGCTGGGCTCCAGGTGCTGTGGGACGAGCACAGCTCATCTCAAAGGTCGTGGTGCAGCACAACCCGTGGCCACTGGTCACGGGATGTGGGAATGCAGCGGATTGGGCAGCACTGAGGACACGGAAGAGACAGTGCATCCCACCCTGGCACCCCACTGTGTCCTGGATTGACACTCATGCCTATCCTGGCCCCACGTGCAGCTGGGATTCATCCTCCTGGCGCCAGGCTGGGGCCAGCACCAGCCAAAATCTACTTAGGGCTATTTTTCCTTCCCTCCCATGGGAGGTGGCCTGATTCCTTGACACCAGCACAAGGGGCAGGACGTGGCCCCCCAGTACCACAGGGTCCCTGTGAATCACTGTGAGGCGGGGAACACCACAGTGGGTAAGAGATGTTGCTGGCAGGGACAGGTACCCCCTGTGGGGTCACAGATGGCCACAGCATAGAGGCAAGTACCCCTCATGGAATTACAGGTACTCCAGGGAATCACAGATGCCCCGTGAAGGGGGGAGCAGATAGCCTGCAGGAGAGCAGTCCCTGTGGATCGGGAGGGACAGAAATGCTCCAGGGTGAGACATTCCTGGGGCGATCACGGAGGTAAGATACCCTACAAGGGGGACACACTTCCAAGGTCACACATGATGGGGGACCAGACATGCCCCAGGGATCACAGATGCCCTGAGTAGTGGGGAAGATACCCCTCACAGATGACAGATAATCCTCAAAGGAGCAGATACCCCATCAGCATCACAGATACCGCCTCACTGGGGTCACTGGTACCTGTGGGGGGGTCACAAACCCACCATTAGTCACAAATACCCCAACGAGGGGCACAGATATTCCGTGGGGATCACCCCCTGAGGAGAGTCACAATGCTTCCCATCGGGGTCACACATCCCCAGGGGGTCACAGATGTTATGTGTAGTAGATATAATTTGTGGCATTTCTAGGATGATATACATGATATTAAATATTTGTTGGAGTATACATGTTTGTATTAGGAGTCCCCCCCACCCTCGCAGACGAAACCTGGTGCGTGTTGAAACCCGATTTACACGTAAAAGGATGTGGCTTGGCCAGGAGGGATAAGGAGATACCCAGGCACTGATCATTGCGTGAATTACCCGAGACGGATATTATAGAAATATTATAGAAATCCTCGGGCAGATACAGGTGAATGCAGGATTCCTGTAAATTTCATCAAGGGATTCAACAACTCTGGACACGTAATTGTTCTTCCTCATCACCAAAAATAAAAAGAAAATCTCATTAACCTACGGATTACTGAATGGAAGAAAAGACTGATTGCCGAAATCTTGGTCTCAGGCGGAATTTTCCCTATAAAACCCGCCTGTGCCAGGATGGAGGTGTGTGGGCACAGAGGAAAACCTCTGCTGAGGCTGACTCCTTGTTGCGCACGCAGCGCGGGGCTCAGCACTGTTCTTTCCTTGTGGCTGGCTAGATAGAATCTGATCGCAAAATAAATATTTGCTTTTTTTCATTTTAATTCGGCTGGACAAACTCTCACTTATAACACAGACAGCTCCGGGGCGGGTCACGTTCGCCCGGCCCTCACAGCGGCCCCACACAGGACGCGCGGGGGGGGGCGAACCCTCCACCTGTCAATCAAGCGACGCCCCGCCCCCAGGCGAGGCCACGCCCCAGCCGGGCTCCCCCTGGCGGCCGCGGTCCGCCGCTCTGCGCATGCTCGGTGCGCGGTAACCGGTTCCGGGTTGCGCTCGCTGCTGGCTGAGCGGCCGGCGCCGGGCGGGCGGCCGCGCCATGTCCACGCTGTTCCCCTCGCTCCTGCCCCGCCTCACCGAGCCCCTCTGGTTCAACCTCGACCGCCCGTGCGTCGACGAGACCGAGCTGCAGCAGCAGGAGCAGCAGCACCAGGCCTGGGTGGGCACGGCGGTGGGGGCCGCGGGCCGGGTGTCAGGGGGCCGGGGAGCGGGCCCGGCTCCCTCAGCGGGTACGGGCCCGGGGCGGTGCCCGGGCTGGGGGCTGCTCCGCTGGTCACCGCCTGTGCCCGTGTTTCAGCTCTTGTGCCGCTGTCGCCGGCTCGGGCACCGCTGCTCCCGTGTCCCTCATCCGTCACTATTACCGGAGCTCCCCGTTTTATTGTGCGGGGGTTAATTAATAAGATGCTGCTGGAGCTACGCGAGCTCTCTATGAATTAATTAACTAATCTCCCCAGGCAGGCAAAGAGCGATTTGTGATCCTGGTGGCTGACAAGTGTTGGCGATGTGAGAGTGGTTTTGTGCTGCAGTGCCCCTGAGTGTGGGGGGAAGAACATCTATTTGATTAAAGTTTAAAAAAAAAAATCAGTAATTAAGTTTTTATAATTAAATAATAAAGTTTAAATCAATTAAAACTTCAGGACGTAGAAGAGGTTCCAAATCCCTCTGGGTGGGAGGTGCTGACGTATTTTAATTGAGCTTTAATTATCTGCTGTGGTTGTGTTCATCTGGCTGATCAGATTTGTCCCAGATTTGTTTATTTTTTGATAAAGAAATACATAAGCTTTGTGTTAGGGCTTCTGATGCCGCACATGGGGATACCAGTGTCATTGGGACCAGCCTGCTTGGTGCCAAGGTGTTCAGGCAGGTGTCTGGAGCTGCTCTTCCCTGCTTGGCCAGGAGATGCCAGGGAGGCAGCAGGACTGGGCTGGAAACAGGCGTGATCAGCAAGCGCCACAAGCCAGCAGCTGAGCCGACAGGGCCTGTTTGCTGGCGTGTCATGGAGCTGTTGGGGTGCTCACCTGCCTCTCTCCTTTCCCCAGCTCCAGAGCATTGCTGAGAAGGACAACAACTTGGTGCCCATAGGAAAGCCAGCGTCCGAGGTGGGTGTGTGGGCAGGGAAGAGGGGGGGTTGCCACAGGGCTTGAAGGGCAGATGGGGTTGCTGGAGCTGTTGTGTCCACAGCACTATGATGAGGAGGAGGAGGAGGATGATGAAGATGATGAAGACAGTGAAGAGGACTCGGAAGATGATGAGGACATGCAGGATATGGATGAGATGAACGATTATAATGAGTCTCCTGATGATGGGGAGATCAATGAGGTAATAGTGCGAGACCCCAAAGAAGGGGATGTGAAGTGTGTGGGACCCTGAGCATGAGCTCCAGGAGCTGTCTTCTCTCCTTCACACCCTCAATTAAGTTCTTGCTCTGGAGGAGATCTTAAACTTCTTTCTTTCCTAGGTGGACATGGAGGGGACAGAGCAGGATCAGGACCAGTGGATGATCTGATTCTGCCACAACCACACCAAACCAGAGGCTGGGGGAGATTCTTTGCCCCCCATGCCTCGGGGGGACGGTTCAGTGAAGCTCCTCCTTCCATGGGTGCTGCGTGGGGCAGCAGATTCAGAGGGAAGCCCCACAGGGGAGCCAGAGGGGAGACTGCCACCTGGCATACTGGGACTGACACATCGTTTCTAATAAACTCAGTTTTCAAGAAAACAACCCCAAATCTGGTGTCTGAGGCCACCAGGGAGGCAGGGGGTACCACCCAGGCAAATGCAGGGCTGCTCCCCACCATTGACTGGTGCACCTGGCAGATCTCCCTGTGCAGTGCAGGCAGGAACACTGCAGGGAGTGAGCCCACTCATTGCCCGCTGCGCCCCACCACAGACCACAGAGCCACTGCCTTTTCTCCAGAGCCCTTGTTGAAGCCGGGGCAGGGGTTGGGGAGTAACTGCGGCCATCACGAGGCAGGGGCTCGCCACCCGCTCAGTGGGTGCCGGTGTAGCGGAGCTCGGCGATACCGTCAGGAATGGCGCGGAAGTACTCCAGGCTAGCGCGGTGCACCTTGCAGTGGTATTTGCCGCAGGTCTTGGCGTACTGCAGGAAGTGAGGTGCCCCAGGGAAGAGGACGTTATCAGCCAGGATGGTGGCCCCCTCAGCCAGCAGCTGGTGGCTTTCCAGCAGCCGTAGATCCCGCAGGTAGCAGCGTTTCCAGTGATCCATGAAGACCAAGTTGGCATTCACCAGGCCATGCTTCTCCCGCAGGCGCGGTATCACCTCCTCCGAGGGGCCCACGATCAGCTCCACCTGTGCTGCATCACCCTCGGTCACTGGGGCAGGGTGGCAGGGTGCCCACCCACCACCCTGCTTTACAGGGTGGCGAGAGGTCCACATGGGACAGGATCTTCCTCTTCCCACCCACACCGCCCAGCAGGTGCCGCAGTCCCTGCCACAGCAGCAAAGGACCCCCACCCATCTCCTCCCCGGTTTCATGTGCAGAGCTGGGCTTTATCCCAGTGCCTGGGTGCTCACCGTCTGCTCGCTGAAGCCGGCCAGGCGGATGACCTTCTCGGCCACGGCGGCGTGTCGGGGGTCCCCCTCGATGGTGTAGAGGCGGGCACCTGGGGGCAGCCCCTGTGCCAGCAGGACGGTGCCATAGCCACAGTACGTGCCCAGCTCCAGCACCCGCAGCGGTGCCCGCTCCAACAGCACCCGCTCCACGATCCGCCCTGACATGGCATGTGCCTCTCAGCAATCCCACCAGTCTGTGCCACCCCAGCCCTGGGCAGGGCAAAGGTGCCAAGCAGTGCCCAGAGGGATGGAGGAGAGCCATGCCAAAAATGCCACAGCCAGGTGAATGATGCCATAGCCATACCAACAGTGCCATGGCTGTGCTGGCAGTGCGATGGCCACGTCACTGGTGCCACAATCATGCCAACAATACTATGGCTGTATCAACAATGCCAATGGTGGTGTGATCACACCAACACTGTCACAGCCACATCACTGGTGTCATCGCCATGCCAGGGGTGCCATGGCCACACTGGCAGTGTCATGCCCTGCGCGGTGTGGAAAAGCAAGGGTGGCACTCACCTTTGTCAGGCCCCACACAGCTGAGGTGCTCACAGTGGTAGCACCACTGATCGAAGGTCTGGAGGATGTGGTGGGGGTCCCCAGGGATGGCATGGGCCAGCAGGTACTGGAAGGCGCGCTGCTCCCGTGAGGTGCCCGTGAGCCGGTCCCGCAGCCAGGCCAGCAGCACCGCCCGGTACAGCAGCACCAGGTAGTGCCGGTACCGGATCAGCAGGGTGACAATGAAGGGGAGGAAGGCCAGGGCAATCGCCGGAGACACCATCACGAGCAGGCGAGGCTGTGCTTTTTTGCACAGTTGCTGAGTTGACTTTGTTAGTTTTGTACTTATCTTGGGAGTTCTTCCAAATGGGAACTTCTGCACCCTTTGTGTCCACTATCAGTAGCGTAACCTTGGGCCCAGGCTTTGAAAATCTCCCTGTGCAGATATCATTGAAGCATTGTGAGCCCTTTAACCGTAACAAGGCCAATCTCTTTCCTCACAGGGGATGCTGTGGTAGAATGTCCTTCCAGGGTGCCAGCCTCACATCTCCCAGTTATGCCACAAGTTGGCTGTGCTGTGCACCCCCTGGAAGTACCTCTCCCTGGGCTCCAATGCTGCTGGGCCTGTAGGGCTGGGGCACCCCAGGATGCTGTAGACACCCCTGTGCCAGGGCTGGGGAGTGCTGGGGACCCATCTGCCAGGATCCAGATATTGGGGTTGGCAGGGCTGGCATCCCAGGAAATTGTGCTGCTGTGAGGGGCCTTGTTCAGCACAACCCTTTGCACCCCCCTTGGTCCTGCTTTGCTGCTCCCATCCCCCATAATCTGCACCTCACACCCTATTCCCCACACCCTGCTCCCCACACCCTGAGCTGTTGGGGGTGCCCAGCCACAGCGACAGGATAGGGTAATGGGGGTGGCACCTACCTGTCCCCACACTCCAGGCAGGCAGAGGCAGGCAGTCCTGTGTGGAGTCCTGCTGCCACTCAATTATTGATGGTGTCACCGCAGCTGCAGCTGCTCCTGGAGCTCCGGTTACCAGCTCAGTGGGGCTGGCCATGGAGACGGGGCCAGGCTGGGGCTGGGAGGTGGTCCTGGGCTGCACAAGGGGGCCTGGGACTGGGGTACTGATACTGGAGCTGGGGTGCTGATACTGGGGCCTGGAGTACCAGTAGCGTGGCTGGGGTCCCAATATTGGTGTGTAGTGCTAGGAGCTGTGGTCCTGATACTGGAGCTGGAGTCCTGTCACTGTGCACTGAGAATACTGGAAACACTGAGCAACAGGAGCACGGGGAGCCAGAAGCACTGGGCACCGGGAGCACTGGGAGGCCTTATCAGTGGATACTGGTAACACTGTGGGCCTGGGTACCATGGGAGCATTGGGAGCACTGGGGATGAGGAGCCTCGGAGCACTAGGATCTGTTGTGGATTAGGAATGATTCTCCCCTGTTCAGTGCCTCCACCGAGACCCTCCAAACCATGCCCATTCTCTCGCTTCCCTGCTTTCCTCTCCCCCTTCCCACAGCAGCAGGATGGAGAGGAGGCACAAAAGGTAAAGATCTCAGGTTGAGATAAGAACAATTTAATGGCTGTAAGAAACTTAACAGTAACAGCAACAATATTAATGACAAGTGGTACAAGAAAAGAAAAGATTCACATAGAAGACCCCCTTCCGACAACAGACAATACCAGACAGCTCCCTCTGCCAATTTACCTGACAGTGAGTTGGTGTATGACAATGTTGTGCTCTTTTGTCCTTGTGGCATACAGTCCTTGTGCCACAAGGACTGTGTACACCGGACATTTGGCCCTAAAGGGGACTTTGTTATTTGAATTCCTATAGTTGACTCAACCACCAGCACCACTATTTCTCTCCAAGATACTGGGTACCTTGCTCCATGGTGTTCCACATGCCTCAATGCACTACTCAATCATCCTTGAGAGAATGCCTTTCCCTCACGCTTGACAGGAGCTGCCTTCAGAGCCTGAGAGTCTTTGTCCTCTTCCCGATGCCCTTGTCAATGTTCACATCCCAGGACAAGGATCCCAGTTGCTTGGCTTCACTACCATCCCATTCCATATCGTGGGCCAGGATATCCCAGCACTGGAGTAGCCAGGTCGCCAGGAGCTCACCTAAGTGGCAGCTGGAACCTTTTCCCACATCTTACAGCTCACCTGGGGCCATGGACCAGGGGATTTTCCCTGGCCCTGCCTCCTCCTCCTGTTCTGAGGGCCCTGCTTCGCCAGCCCTCACTAACTGAACTGATTTTGTCTTGGATTCCTTCTTCTGTGCAGGGTGACTGCCCCCAGCACGGGCTGTTCCCTGGTTCAGCTGCAGCTGCCGTGGCCATGGCTCCTGTTGCTGCTCCCTCCTCCTCCCCTGAGGGTGCTGTCCACTGTCCTCTGGAGCTGACACAGCATCCTCCTTGCAAAT